GTTATTTACATATTTTCATTATTTACATGGCGAGACTAATATTTTATTCGGTGCTGATGCCTTCAGTACTTATTGCATGACGGTTAAATCGTTCAGATTTAATGACATAACAACATTAAAAAAAATAATAATATGAAAAATTGTATGAAAAATTATGAAAATTTTTACCAGGGATGGCATATGTACGCCTTTAAATGGCCATTTAAACTGGCCATTTAACCGTTATACTATTCTATACTTGTACTCGTTATTTTTCTATTATTGTTGCTTTTTTATAAGAAACGTGTAATAAAATTTTAAAAAGTAAAAATTGTTTTTTATTGTGTACATGTGTACAATTATTGCACAATATAATTATCTTGACTCCTCTGCAGCAGTTTTACATGGTGTGTATGTAAAACTGCTTCATTTAATAACGTACATATGGCTCTTGATAGAATTAAATAGCCTATCTAGGAAACAGAATCTGCGCGCAATCTGCCGCCAGTCTGTCGTCAGAGTCTGTCGACAGGCTCTATCTGTCATCAATGTGCCGTCAGAACAGATTCTGTGTACAATCTGTTGCCATTCTGTCCACAGACACTGTTGACAGACTCTGCGCAAAATCTGCTTATGCAGGTTTGGCTATCTAGGATAAAAGTTATAAACCATTTTGAAATTTTCTTAATATTTATTCCGTAATTAATTAAAATGTATAAACGAATGAGCGCACGAGAATCGGTAGGACAGGCTCTGTGTGTAAAAGAAATAGCTTACCTCTTAGCAATGATGAGTAAACAGTTGATTTCGAGGCGGAATAACGTATATGTGTCGCTTGTTATTCCGCCTCAAAATCAACTGTTTACTCATCATTGCTAAGAGGTAAGCTATTTCTTTTACACACAGAGCCTGTCCTACCGATTCTCGTGCGCTCATTCGTTTATACATTTTAATTAATTACGGAATAAATATTAAGAAAATTTCAAAATGGTTTATAACTTTTATCCTAGATAGCCAAACCTGCATAAGCAGATTTTGCGCAGAGTCTGTCAACAGTGTCTGTGGACAGAATGGCAACAGATTGTACACAGAATCTGTTCTGACGGCACATTGATGACAGATAGAGCCTGTCGACAGACTCTGACGACAGACTGGCGGCAGATTGCGCGCAGATTCTGTTTCCTAGATAGGCTATTTAATTCTATCAAGAGCCATATGTACGTTATTAAATGAAGCAGTTTTACATACACACCATGTAAAACTGCTGCAGAGGAGTCAAGATAATTATATTGTGCAATAATTGTACACATGTACACAATAAAAAACAATTTTTACTTTTTAAAATTTTATTACACGTTTCTTATAAAAAAGCAACAATAATAGAAAAATAACGAGTACAAGTATAGAATAGTATAACGGTTAAATGGCCAGTTTAAATGGCCATTTAAAGGCGTACATATGCCATCCCTGGTAAAAATTTTCATAATTTTTCATACAATTTTTCATATTATTATTTTTTTTAATGTTGTTATGTCATTAAATCTGAACGATTTAACCGTCATGCAATAAGTACTGAAGGCATCAGCACCGAATAAAATATTAGTCTCGCCATGTAAATAATGAAAATATGTAAATAACTTTTACAAAATTTTTGTGATGCTTTATTTGAAAATATATCATGCTTCGATTTTAATAAAATTTAATACAATCTGAACTGAACGATCGACCAAATTAATTCGCACATGTAAAGGCACAGTATTTTATTAGCATGATGGAAAAATATCATTATCTGTTGTTTTATTGCAGTACTTTTCTATACAATCTCTGGTAGAAAATTAGTTTCGAATTATCGTGCCGATCTCTCTTACATTATTTATATACTAAACGATTTCGTCTATATTTTGCGGTTTAAAAAGCGAACAAACTCAAGATTTTTCTTCCTTAAATCTTAACAATACAATGGGGCAATACAAAGTATTTTTTATCAAGTGAGGAATTGGCATAATGTCTAAGGCGATGGATGATTATTCAAAAGATGATTTCGGTTCAAGTTCGAATCTCACCAGAAAAAATCTTAAAAATTATGAAAAAATAATATAGAAAAACTTTTTTTATTGTATTTTACAAGTATTTATGAGTATTTATGATAAAGTGCTCATTCTATAAGTAATTATGAAAAATTATGAGAAAATTTTTTACCAAAGATTTAATTGAAGAACCTACGAAACAACAGGATCTGCGCGCAATCTGCCGTCAGAATCTATCGGCAGGCTCTGCGCGCAACCTGCCGCCAATCCGATGTCAGAGTTTGTTAGCAGACCCTGTCAGCAGTCTGATGGCAGATTGGGGACGCAGATGTCTATGGATCTGTCGACAGATCCTGCTCGAATTCGACAGATTCTGTCGCCAACCTAATGTCAGTCTGCGCGCAGATTGCTTACTGGGATGATTATTTTGACCCGTTTTACCCGTATATGGCGATTACTCGATCAGTTACCGGACATCTTGTATATGTATATGATATATGATGTAAATGCATGTTTATCTGATACATATCCAATCTTATGGGAGTGGCAAAAAGTAAATTAATTCACTTTTTCACATGCAGCCTCGATTACATCACTTATACAGGATGTCTCACAACCACCATAAGATATTTTAATAGTGTATTTTGAAGATAAAGGAGAGTAAAAAATCCTTATATAACAATGTCGAGGCTACAATAATTTTGAATTATAACCGATCAAAGATTACCAGTATTAGCGCGTAGAATTCGCGCGTAGAATTCGCGCGCTCAAGCCGGTAGTTATACAGTAAACATATCGTTTTATCATTTGTTATTGACTTCACAGTTAATATTGATTTTTACTACACAGCTGATTCCTAAAAACATTAATAATTATTATTGTTAGAATTATTAAATTTAATAGTTTTACACTTGAGAAATAAGGATTTTTGCGTTTTTGACATAAAAAGTAATCATGAGAAATAATTTATTATTATTTTTGTTCTTCACATTTTATGAGGAGTGAAATCGTATAATTCTAATAAATTGAGGCAATAAGATTAAGTTGTCTACATTTCTTAAACAATTTAAATTTTTATTATCTTAGTTCGGATCTTATAATTTCAGTATATCAAGATTTGAATAAAAACTTGTTCACTTCACTTATTCATAAGACTCGTGTGGTTTCGATCCCGTCAGGCAGCCACCCATCTTTAGATGACCATGCTGTTCATTGCTTGACTTCAACGATCGTACATTAGTGATCGAAACTAGTGATGCCAATGCGCTGTAACGATATCTTGGTGGATTATATGTACAATATACTCTTATGTCATTCAAAATTTTATTTATGAAAGAATGTAATGTCATATTTCACAAGTTTCATAATACAGTACAGTAATATTCAATGATAATTCAATTCAATTTCCCTTACTCTTAATATTTCACTAATTGTACGGAATGAAATTTTTGGAAAAATCAGCAAATTGCAGCAAATTGTATTCTTCAATGCAATTCACCATTTATTCAGTACAACTTAATATACAATTTTTCGCAAAAATCAACAAAATATTGCAAGTTTTCAATAATTTTTCAAATGATTTAAGTCCTTATTTCATCAAGTTTTCATGAATAATTACAACAATTTTCAGTAATATTCAATTAATTCCATTATATTGAATACTGAAAATTTTTATAGGTTATTTTTCAACAATATTCATTATCTTTCATTATCTTTCCTTATATTTTACAATATTACATTAAATTTCATACTGAAAGCTATGATTAATTTCGATTTATGTTGAATTATTATTTAATAATAGTTATTTTCCGTTTCATCGACTTCAATATAACTTGCATTTGCGACTAATACAGAATGGGTTTTAAATAAAACACAGAACTTGAGATTGATTATTATGATATAGGCATAAACAAACTAACACTAATCAAACTATTCGATCATAGGTCTATATTTGTTTTACACCGTGTGCATGTGAAAGTACATTATTTAATAGCGTATATATGCCATTTAATTAAAGAACCTACGAAACGACAGAATCTGCGCGCAATCTGCCGCCAATCTACCGTCAAAGTCTGTGACGGCAAGCTCTGGCAGGTTCTGTGCGCAGTCTGCCACCAATCTGTCGTCAGAACAGATTCTGTGTACAATCTGTTGCCATTCTGTCATCAGGCACTGTTGACAGACTCTGCGCAAAATTTGCTCGCGCAGGTTTGTCTATCTGGGTATATATACATATGTTACATATTAATGCAACTTTCTTAATCCTTTGTGGTTATATATCACGAGGTATCAGTTATATGTGTGTTTCCTGGGCTGTTATATATAATATAAATATTATGTATAATATGTGTACAATATATTGCACTTATATTGTATATTGAGTGGGAAATTATAACATTGATATAATTTTACTGTTACTTGATGTTTATTGAGTTATTTTTAATGTATTTTTAATTGTAATTTTTGTTTTAGCATAAATTGGGCATATATACAACAATGAACGTTGATATTACTTTGTATACATTACCAAACAATCAACCTATTGTTGCATTGCAATGTCAAAATGTGTTTAAAGCTTTGACACAAAAAGAGAAACTATACGCTCATTATTTGAGTCAAGCTGCGTGGAGTGGAGGATTGATAGTATTAATACAGACATCACCAGAATCACCATTGATATTTACATTGTTATACAAAATTTATCTTGCGGAACCTATCAGCGAATTGAAAGATACTGCATTAGATGCTAATGTTACCGAAGATGAGTTTACTGTAAGTAAATTCTTTCTTTTTAATATATCCTTTTCATATTTGTTTTCTTTTTTATAAATTATTGTTTATATACTGACAATATAATGCTTCTTTTCTTTTAGGCTTTTTTAGTTTACAGTTGTGGAGTATTTGCAAATGCAGGAAATTACAAAGCTATGGGAGATACTAAAATTATTCCAAACCTTTCAAAAAATGCATTTGAAATAATAGTAAAAAACTCAAAAGCTTATAAGAATAATCCTGAAATACAAAATATATGGAACAATATAACAAAACTACTTTATTCGTTAAATGGAAAACTAAAATCATTGGGACTAGGTGATAATGGAGTTACGACTTATTTTTCTGCTAATTGTACTCAGAAAGATGCAGATAGAGTTAATGCATTTATGCAACATAAAGGATTAGAATCCTATAATACTAGATGTTTTAAAACATCTGTATACGATTTTTCCAGCAATAGTAACATCGATGTATTTGAAATACGATTGGCATCTGTAGAAACTTCAAATGATCCTAACACTACTTTATTTGAAGAAATATACGAAAATACTAGATTTAAGGTTACAAGAGGTGATTACAACAAGCTGCTAGCGTCTGTTGTTGAAAATTTAAAAAAAGCCAAGGAATATGCATCTAATCAAATTGAGAAAGATATGTTGGAGAAGTATATCGATCATTTTAGAACAGGATCTCTAGTCGACCATAAAGATGGTTCTCGTCTTTGGATAAAAGATAAAGGACCGACTATCGAAACCTATATTGGTTTTATCGAAACATATAGAGATCCAGCGGGTCAAAGAGGAGAATTCGAAGGTTTTGTAGCAATGGTGAATAAAGAAATGTCTGCAAAATTTACCATGCTAGTCGACAAAGCAGAAGATTTAATTCCTAGACTTCCATGGAGCAAGGATTTCGAAAAAGATTCATATCTTAGGCCAGACTTTACCTCTTTAGATGTTTTAACGTTTGCTGGTTCTTGTATTCCATCGGGAATAAATATTCCGAATTATGACGAAATTAGGCAGTGTGAAGGTTTTAAAAACGTATCACTAGGAAATGTTATACCTGCACATATGAAAGATCCAATATCGTTTCTTTCTGAAAGCGATCAGACATTGATGCATAAATACAGGATAGCTAGCTTTGAAGTGCAAGTTGGTTTACATGAACTTCTTGGTCACGGCACCGGTAAATATTTTAGGCAAATAGGACCAGATACTTTCAACTTCGATCGCAACAAAGTAATAAATCCTCTAAATGGAAATAGAATAGATAAGTTTTTCCAGAAAGGAGAAACTTACGATTCAAAGTTTGGCGCTATGGGATCCTCCTATGAAGAATGCAGGGCTGAAGCAGTCGGTCTTTATCTGAGCTTAGAGAAGGACGTGTTAAGAATATTTGGTCACCAGGGATCAATAGCAGATGATATAATTTATGTAAACTGGTTGTCCTTGTTATGGAGTGGTTTTGCGAAAGCTTTCGAAATGTATCAGCCTGCTACAAAAACATGGTCACAAGCTCATGCTCAAGCCCGTTATGTTTTGCTCAGAGTGTGTTTAGAAGCTGGTGAAAATTTTGTCAATGTTGTGGAGACCGAAAAAGGAAAGAATCTTCGAATGACCATTGACCGAACAAAAATTTATACGGTCGGTAAAACGGCTATCAGAAACTTTCTTGTGAAATTACAGATCTATAAGAGTATAGGAGATGTTGAGTCAGCTAAGGAGATGTATGATAAATACAGTGAAGTACCTGATAATGGAATGTATCCCTGGGGTCGTTGGAGGGACATAATCCTATCACGTAAAGAACCAAGGAAAATATTCGTTCAACCAAATACATTTATTGATGGTTTGTATAAATATCTAAGCATACTTTATAAGTTTAAAAGATCTTTAGGCTTTCTCATTTAAAGCTCGGTTATATCAATCGAGTGGTAAATTAACTAACAGTTAAATTATATGTTTGTCTTACAAAGGAACCTCGCAAACTCAAAAATTCAGATTTTAATGAAATTTTATACAAATATAGGTTAGGTAAGTAGATGAATTTAGAAATTTTTAATTACTGCTAAAAACGGTTTGAAGGAATAAAATCTTCAAAGATACAAAGGATGACGACTTTTTCAATATATTTTGTAAACTAAATAAAATGTCAAAAAACATTTTATATAAAAGTTTTATAGAACAAATTTTCTCTATTTTTAACTATGCCACATTCATTTTTCGAGAAAAATATATTTTTAGAAATTTACTCTTTATATCTTCTATATAACATATTATAACACTAACTTTTTGTTATACGTTTTTTTCTAATTATATTATCATATAATTTTGTGAAATTACCCGGAGGTTTTTGAGGTCGCTGATTACGAAACCGATATCAAAAATATAAAATTCAAAATGGTGGATCCAATATAGCGAACAAAATGATCCAAATTGACCGGAGTCACTTGAAACTTGTTATCCGAAGGTTTTTAAGGTTGTTGATTGTGAATTCGATGTCAAAAATATAAAATTCAAAATAATAAAATTAAAAATTAACCTATATAGAACAAATATCCAAAATGCATCTCATAAATATCCTATAGATATCGCGATTTTCAAGCATCACCGCTTTCAAGCATCACCGCTTGAAGCCGTACAACTTTGCTATTGGACATTTTTCCAAAATGCATTCTTACTGAAAATATTAGGGGGAGCCAACACTTTTCGATGTATTTTCTTTAAACCAATTAATTGGTCTCATTATTCCGCGCACAAAAGTATTAAGGTTATGATTACTGAAAACTAAATAACATTTTACAAGATATTTTACATTTTGTGTCAAAAAATTGTTAACTTCAAACCTTTATAATTCAAAAAGTACTTAATGAAAAAATGTTTTATTCTAGCGTTTTGGAAAGCTCTCGAGATAAGCTATAAGAATATGCAATAAAATGTAGGGGGTTCCATTAAAAAAATAAGGTTAACCTTGAAATGACCTTGGAGGACATGGTCAAGGTCAAAGTTAAGGTCATCATCTTACTCCCCGCTTGAAACCATACAACTTTGCTATTGGACATTTTCTCCAAAATGCATTCTAACTGAAGATATTAGGGGG